TAAACATGCACAGAATTTGCCCTGGTCACCCTGAACATTTTAAAGAACAGGGGTGCAAACAGGGGTCTGTTTACCCAGAAATGAGCCCTGCAAAAGCTTAGTAGAATTTACTCTAAGTCAGTATGTGAGTGGACATAAAATTATAGCCTCCGTCTTACTGAGAAGTGTCCAAAGGACATAATATAAAAATATTTTTTCACACCCATCGATATCAAAAAGGAAAGCCTTTTACAGGCATGCATGCACGGAGTCCTAGAAAATATTTTTTGAACAAGCAAGCAACCTGGACACTTTTTCAATAGTTCCACCAAATAATTCAGAAAGCATACAGTTTCTAGCATGCAAAACCAATCCCTTCCTACCCACCTCCCATTTTCTCCACCATCCTTCCCTTTTTGAGTATCCTCCCCTCCCCACAATATCTAAAGCAGATAAGGGGACAAACAAGAAAAGGTCACATTTACCACTATCAACCACCATCACCCTTTGCAATTTGCACTATACATCTAACTGTACGTTCTCATTTGCAATACAAAACAATGCAAAGCAGGCAAACTCAAGTATGTTTCTTGGAGCTGATAGCTGCCCCGGGGCCACCCCCCTAAGGGTTGGAGGAACCAGGGGAAATTAGGAGATGAACACAGCCTGGAATTTGGAACAGTTAAGCAGAGATGTCATGAATAGGACATTTGGGGGGCTTCCATTTACAGCCACCACCATCACCACAACAGTGAATGAGCTCCCCTCACCCATGCAGGTTACGGTTCTGGAAGTCCTCAGTGCCAAACTAATGGCCCATTTTTATCATTAGTGATACTGAAATATACTAAACACTTCCATAGTGATGTCATGGAAGACTGCTCATAGTAGCAAAGACAATAAACATGTTATTAAATGATTACATTGTGGTTTCTTATTCATTACCACTGTTCCAACCAAGGTATTGCCATTTTAAGTTCCATCGACCAACTGAGCAAAGATGCTTCAGGTTGTGAACTTGTTTCTGAATACCTGCAAACTGACAAGTTTCTCTCACTGAAAATGAACCAAAGGCCTCGCTTATTTGTGGCTTCCCTGCTTCCCGAGGGCAAAGTTCCTTCCTGAACTCAAAGGGGTAACTTCCTGGGTGGCAAGCTAAATCCAACATGACTTCAAGCCACTGTCCTGACTCTTGCCGGGGTTTGACTTACTTTTCCTCCTCTGCACAGCAGAAGAAATATTTCACTGCAAAGAAATGCAGGGAAAATGAAAAAGAGGAGCACAGTGGGAATTAAGACGGGGGGGGGGGGAGAAAAGAAAAAGGGTAGAAAGACAAATAAAAGGGAATGGTAAGAAATGCCCCACGTGGGCAAACTTCCCCTCTCAGTGGATTGCGCAGATGCAGCATTTGCAATATGACTCAGAAATGCCCACTTGGCGTTACTTTTCTGCAGAAGGACATTTACTCAAACATCCCACGGAGGCGTAGCAGACAGGGCTTTGACGCAGAAGCAACTTACCCCGAGCTTTGGTCCAAGCAATCTCGCGGCCAGAAATGCAACCGCCATTCCAAAGTCGGCGAGTGGGGGGGGGGGGGGGAGCACAAAGTGCGCCTTACTTCCGGGTAAATCTGCTTAGGAAGGCTGCTCCGCAAGGCCATTCTTTCTACTCAGAGGTCGGGAGAGGGGGGCACCCTCCCCTCCCCCCTCCCCGGCCAAGGGCTTCGGCCCGGGAGGGCGCCTCGGCCTGCGGGACGATGGAAGGGCGGCCCACTGTCAAGTTCAACCCGCGGCCGAGGCCCCGAGCGCCAAAGCACGGAAGGACGCCCCCGAAAACCGGCTTTCCCCGCGATGCAGAAGATCGCCCGCCGCCCGGAGTCGGGGGCTGCGTCTCCCCGAAGCGCAGCGCCAAAGCCACCCTTCTTGGGCCGCGCTCCGTCCGAGCCCACCGACCCTGCCCGGGAGCAAGCGGCAAACCCCGCGGGGGCTGCTCGCGGGCTGCTCACTTGCACGCAGGGAAGCGGGAGCGGGGCCGCAGCGCCCGCCGCCGGGCCGTTTCCAGGCGAGGCGCCTCCGGGGTCGCTGTGCTCGAGCGCGCCGGCTGCTTTGATTCGAAGTCAGCCCTCCCTCGCACGCAGGGCCCCTTGATCTGGATCCCGGGCGGAGAAGAATCACCCCACAGGCGCGCAGATCTGTTTTGCACAGCAGTAAGAGGCTGCACGGGCGCGGACTTCCTACGTGCACCCTCGAAACGGGTTTCTTTGCCGAAGAACTGCGAATTACTACTCAGAACCGGCGTTGGCTGTCCAGGGGGACGCATGTTTTGATCGTTGTTTTAGGTCGGGATGCGGCAAGGCAAATCGGATTGAAGTCGCCCCCCCCCCGCCCGGGAGCAGCCCTCAGCTCTTGGGGGGACAAGAAGGGGCTTTCACTTCAGACGTGGGATAAGATGGGGAGCATCGCGAGTGCTGCGGAAGGGGCCGCAAACAGCAACTTGATCAACCAACCGATCGGTGAAACCACAGCACACGCCTCGCGCAGGGCACGCCTGTACGTGTCTACTCGGGAGAAAGTTCCACTGAGCTCAGCGAAGCGAAATGTTTACACTGCTGCCGCACCAACTTATTTCAAGACCTGCAAATAGGCTAACCCCGGACCGCTCTCAGTTCTAGGCCCGCCCTCGCAACCACGATCCGCTTTCCAAAAGCTTCCTTCCAACTCAGGAGCGGGGAGGAGCTGGGATTGCTATTATTTGCTGAGTTACTCAAGTTATTTTATTACCGTCAGCAGCAAAAGTAATAATACGAAGACAGTTTGCAGATGGCCTCCTGCTTTTTCTGGAGGTTTCCCTGCCATTTCGGTATCCTGAATATTTCTAGCAAGACACAACCCTGCAGGAAAGCAGTAGCCGGAGCAGGGCCTAGTCTCGCTTAAAATCAGCTTGCCGACCCCACAGAGCGGGGCAAACCTTCTCCTAATAATTCCTTCAAATGCCATAAATTGTAGCCATGCATGAATATGTGTGTTTCTTATTTACACACACAGCCCTTTCACCAAACCTCTTTCTTGTGCCCTCTCTGATGAGACTGATGGGCAGAATTCAGCCACCAGCGGTGAATTCAACCCTACACAAGCTCCGTCCAGGCCCCCTTCGCTCTCCGTATGTTGTACAGTTTACAATGCTAGAAAAGAACAATGCGAAGCCATTTAAGCCCGCGTAATCGTGGCACATTCGATGCCCTTTGCTGCAATCCTATAGCCATTTTCCTACCAGAAAGGCCCATTGAACTCAGTGGGACTTACTGCTGAGTGGACACGCTTAGGATTACCCTGTTAATTATTGGGGAATGGAAGTGATTAAAGGGTCGCACAAACCATCAGTTACTTAGGAGTAAGTGCCGCTGGAATTAAGGAGATGTAACTGCTAATTATTGTTGTTTAGGAGGCAGGATACAATCGGATACATACATAAGATATACTGTACTTCGTACTATACAGATGAGGTTACAAGAGCTGAGCATGGCTGTCAAGGACAAGACATTTTGGAGGGCTCGCACAGCATATAACAAACCACACACGCACACGGGCGCAAGATGGCCTTCGCACAGGCACTCGCACACAGAAAAACCATTCAGTTTACCTTTGGGTGTTTACATGCGTCTGGACAGGTTAAAGCAGCTCTCTTCTTTCCACGGGGTCCCGATGTCCAGGCTGCTAGCTCAGTTGTGAAGTGGAGCAGAATCCAGAAAGCGACGGAAGGCATTTGCAGGGGGAAGGATCTAAGGAAGGGAAGGATGGACCAGATACCCCGAAAACGGTTCCTTCCCACAAGGAGAGAAGTAAACAGCCCAGCCCGATACACTGGAGTGGTGGGGAGAGAGAACACGGAACATGGAGGGCCTTTTCAAAAGCTCTGGGCCCCACTTGCTGTGGGGCTTGATTTGCTTTTGTTTTCCTTTTGGCGATTGTGTGAGATGCCCAAACCAAGGCAGAAATAATGAAAAGGAGAAAAAAAGAAAAGTCTTGGAAAGAAATTAGTTCTACTGTACTCTTTCCAAAACAATAAAACTTTTAATGCTAAAGCAGTTATATAACCAAAAGCTGTACAGAGTTTGTCTGATTTTTTTGTTAGAAAACAAAAATTTCTTCTTTTTGTGAGTTTTTTGTTTTGTTTTGTTTTTTGTTCATAAATATTGTTCAGTTCCCGGCACTTGTCTCAATAATTAAATTACAAATGATAAATATGGCATCATGGATATGTATTTACATACAAAAAAGTTATTACAAAAAGGCAACTGTTTGTACTAAAACTGCCAGGAGCTGGGTGAAATTAATATCACATCTCCCCCCTCCTTAAAAATATACTGAAAGACACCCCCCTCCCCATTCCCTGGTCAGACAAAATACATTCACAATTGTAATGGTACTGAAGAGGGAGAATGGGGGAAACAAACAGGGAGAAAAAGAGAGAAGAGGAAGAGGAAGGAAGGAAAGAAGGAAGAAGACAGACTTCAAGACAATACAGAACTTTGGCAAGTTTTAAGACCGTGGGTTTTCCTCTTCTTTTTCACAAGCACAGCTAAGGCCAAGGGGGAAAGTCAGTTCTCTGCTCTGAACCTCCCATGAAGAAGGAGGGAGGAGAAAGAATATCCACTGAAGTCAAATTATGAAAGGCAAGAATGGAGGGAAAGAAAAGGGGGTGTCTTCAGACAGTGGATTAGGGGAAAAAAATCAAAGAAATAACTGTTGATGCAGAAAAAGAAGAAATTGCTACTCCTGAGAAAAATAGACATAAGTAAGTCTGGTCTCTGGCTTTTGGATGGGTGGGGGAAACCAAAGACCACCCCACATATATGCATGCGCACCCACGCGTGCGCATGCACACACACACCAGGGTTTTTTTCCCTCCCGCAATTTTTGTCCCCTAAACTCCAATGGCAGGTCAGGGATAAGTTCAGCGTCCTTTGATGTCACCAGAAATCCTTTTGGTCCAGTCCGGAGTGGAGAATTAAGTTTGCTCCATCAGACGTACCACTCATTAAAGTTGGGGGGCAGGCCAGGGTTGTGACTGGGGGTGGGAGTCTGAAGGGTGGACGTGGGGGGCTTGGTTGAGTCCTTGCTCGCGGTGGCCGTGATGGCTGGGGGCGTGGAAGATTCGTAGCCGGAGCTTGCTGCGGGGGAGGACTCTGAACCCTGGGTTTCATGGACCTGAAAAGAAGGCGGACACAATCACAGGAGGCCAGGAGCAAGGAAGCACTCACCTTGTCTTTGGCTGGTGAGAAAAGGGGAAGGCAAGGATGCTTGTGGCCACTAGATCAATAGTACGTTTTTAGTCTATCCTTTTTAAAGGAAGGATTAGGGAAACCGAAATGGTGTCCAAGCTCCAGAATTGATTCCCAAACTAAAGCCAGGATGGGGGAGGGAAATAAATTCCGGAGGACCGCTTCCCCCATTCTGACCTCCCCCCACCCTTTTGAGAAACAGACATCGTGTGACACATTAGCTGCAATTCATCTGACTGAAATCAGAGCCATCTTCTCCCAAGTAGCGCTGTAGTATGGTATAAGGAAACTTGGAAGGAATTTACATTTCAGGAGCTCTCTGACTGTGTGAAACGGATCTCCATTCCACCCCAATCTCCTCTCTGAGCCATCCCCAGAGGCAAAATTTACTCATTCACAAACTAAGATCGAGAGCTCAACAAATAGTTACACACGATGAAAGATTACTTAACAAGGGGAATGGCTAAACCAGCCGTTGAGCTGCTGATGGAGCCAGGCCCCCTACTTAGCCAGGCATGGCCATTTGGAAAACAGTGTTTTAAATTTAACACACACCCAAAACACAGTGTGCAATTATTTTTATTTCTGACTCTCCAAACTGAGAAGTCGCTTGAAAGATGAAATGGAGGTCTGTTTCCCAAGAGAACATCTAGCTTCCTATGTCAAAGTGAAACATTCCATGCATTCAACACATGCAATATAGATTTGCAGAATTAAACACGGGCACTTGTGTTCCTATGCATGAATCATGCATGCATTCATGCTTATGTTTAACCATACATTATGCACATATATTACAGAACACTCACTTTCTCTTGAAACATACACAGATTAATAATATTAAATATATGTATATCACTATGCAGAACTGCATGCACTAAATTAAGGCATAGAAGTAATTCTCATACATGTTCATATACACACATATACAATTGTATGAATAGATATGATTTTATACAGGTCTCTTTCTACACACACACACACACACACACACACACACACACACACAGTAGGCAATGACATGATTGGCAGATTTTCCAGGGCAAAGCAGGGTATATGAAATACCTTCATGTGCTTCCTTAAGGAACTCGGGTGGGTATATGACTTGTCACACACTTTACAAATGTATGGCTTGTCCGATGTATGCACATGCATGTGTTTCTTTCTGTCGCTGCTGTTTGCAAAACGCCTGTCGCAGCCTTCAAATTCACACTTAAAGGGCTTCTCGCCTGCGAATTAAATACGGATAAAAAGAGATCCAGATCAAGAGCCAGGTACTGGTTTTGCAAAGGAGGGCGCCTGGAGCCTGGCCAGAGGACAGATGGCTTTCCCGCTTCTTCCTTCCTTCTTGGCCCTCTCTGCTTAGAGAAAACTTCCGCCGCCCCTTACGACTTCACGGTCCTGCCTTCCTCTTCTCTCTGCCTTAAACTGTCCTTGGAAAACGCCGACGCGTTCGCCGCGTGCTCGGCCAGAGGGAGGGGAAGCGGGGGACCGAGGCCCGGTAACTTCCTCTCCAACAAAGGCGTGGGGTGCACTGCGGTTCAGTCCAACGCTCATCCGAGCTTTTCCAAGGGGGGCTGTTAAAGGGAACATAAAAACAGAATTTTGGAGCTATCTGAGCACGGAGAGGCCGAGCCGGAGGGCCGCCGGGGGCGAAGAAGGAAGCTCCTCTGAAGATAAATTGTGGCGGTCCAAACGGGTTTGTAAGGACGCACGGGAGACCCCCAAATTTGCATTCTTTCTCTGAGTTCTTCTAGCTTTATGCTCCTTTTTGTGGAAGAACGGAACCGAACACACACACACGTAGCACTTTGACAAAATAACAGTTATCTGTGATTTAATTAGAAGATGGGCCGATCAAGGCATTAAAAGAGGGACAGAACGGAAGTGAGAGAAAATTAGAAGCACTGGTATTTCTATGGCAACTTCATCCGAGCTATGGAGACTCAAATTTCTCGGAAAATGCGATCAACGGGGGGGGGGGGGTACAAGCCCCCTCCCCCGTTTTCCTCACATTAAGCATAGGGGGAGGGAAGTTCGGAGAGGAACTGGACGTGGGGATGGGGAGGCGAGGCAGAGGCAGGGCGAAGGTGGAAAGAAATTGCTCCAAACCTCATACCAAACCAGAAATGTGGTGTTTTCTCCCCCCGGCGCCGCCACGCGAAATCGCGCGAGGTGGACCGGCGGAACAGCACGCGGGGAAACCTCGCAGCCCCGACGGAGCGTGGGGGAAAGACTAGCTCGAAGCGGAGGAGCAACCCCATCTCCGGCCCAGCGCGCCGCCGCTTTCATGTCTCTCGGTTTATTTCCACTCCAATTCTTCCCCCCGGCCCCGCCCCCCCGCCCGACCCTTTGATGCCCCGCTGCGCGCCCCCTGCCCCAATTCCCCTTCGCGCGACCGCTCGGCCCCTCTGCGGTGCGTGCGCTTTTCCAACCCCAACCCCCCAAGATCTTTGCTCCGCAAAAGTGCGATCGGCGGAGGCGCGCCGGATCCTCCAAGCGCGGCCCCCGCTGCTGCTCCCCCCCGGGGTCTCGGGGGGGGGGTGCGTGCTGGGGAAGGCGACCTCGGCCGGGCGGCGGGGGGAGAGGAAGGGGGAGGTGGGCGCTCACCTGTGTGCGTCCGCTTGTGGATCTTGAGGTTCTCCGAGCGGGCGAAGATCTTCCCGCAGCCGGGGAAGGGGCAGGGGAAGGGCTTCTCGCCCGTGTGCACGCGGATGTGGTTGACCAGCTTGTACTTCGCCTTGAAGGACTTGCCCTCGCGCGGACACTCCTCCCAGAGGCAGACGTGGCTGCTCTGCTCGGGCCCCCCGACGTGCTCCATCGTGACGTGCGTGACCAGCTCGTGCATGGTGCTGAACGTCCGGTCGCAGCTCTTGGGCGAGCGCGGCGCGGGCGGCGGCGGCGGCGCCTCCTCCAGCCACTTGCAGGACAGCTCCTGCTTGATGGGCTGCCGCATGTAGCGGAAGAACGCCCCGGCGCCGTGCGGGTGCGGGTGCGCGTGGTGGTGGTGGTGGTGGTGGTGGTGGTGGGCGGCCGCCGCCGCCGCCGCCGCCGCCGCCGCCGCCACGGTCACCCCCCCCACATTCACGTTCATGGGGCTGTAGCCGTGGAACTGGCCCGCGCCGCCGTAGGGGTCGGCGCGGGGGCTGGAGACGCCCCGGTAGGGCTCCGGCCGGCCGAACAGGTCCCCGCGCAAGCCCAGGTGCATCTGTCCGTTGTCCGCGGGCCCCGCCGTCGGGGAGGCGCGGCTCGGCGTCTGCTCGTGCAAGCCGGGGAAGAGCAGGTAGCTGCCGGGGCTCTCCGCGATGCCCGGCGGCGGCGGCGGCGGCGGCGGCGGCGGGTGCAGCCCCGCGGGCGCGCTGCTGCCGAAGAGCCCGTGCTGGGCGGCGGCGGCGCCCCCTCCCGAGGCGGCCGCGTCTCCCAGGCCCGCGCCGCCGCGGTTGCGGAAGAGGAAGTCCCGCGTGGAGCTGAACGCGGCGGCGGCGGCCGCGTACGAGGAAGGCACCTGGCCGGCGGGGTGCGGGTGCGGGTGCGGCGCGTGGTGGTGGTGGTGGTGGTGCGGGTGCGCGTAGCCCGAAGCCTGCGGCGTGAACGCGGACCCTTGCCCCGACGCCAGCTCGTGGGCGGACGGGCTGATCTTAAAGGACGAGTCGCCGAACGGGTGGTTGAGTCCCATGGCGGCGGCGGCGGCGTCGCGGTTCGCCACGTCGTGCGGGTGGTGGCGAGGCGCTCCGAAGCCCCCCACGCCCAGCGCGGGGAACTGCGGCCCGCCGTCCAGCAGCATGGTCATCGCCCGGCGCTGGAGGAGGACGGCGAGCCTCCGCTGCGTCTTCTCGCCTTCCCCGCTGCTTCCACGCAGCGGCGGCGGCAGCGCCGGCGCCAAGCCGGATTTGGTTTCCCTGCCCTTCTCTCCTCTCTCGTCCCCCCCCCCCCGATCAGCCCCACACAATGGCGAGGCAGGCAGGAGGGCTCGCGCGCCAGTATCCCCGGTGCCGCATTCACACGCGCTGCGAGCCTCCAAAACGCGAGGAAGAAAAGAGAGCGGGGGGGGGGGTCGAGTAGGAAAAAAGCCACTGCAACTACAACAACAGCAACAACGGGGCCGCCCCCCCCAGGGCAGCCCCAAACCCCACCCACTCGCCCTCGAGGGCCAGGAATGGAGGCTCCCGCTCAGCCCCACGCACTGGCGCAAAGATGCGCGCACACGCAGCCCCCGGGGGATCCCCGCTGCCTCCTTCCACCCCTGCCTTCCAGGAGGGCTCCCTCCACTCCAACCGAGCGACGTCCTTGCACTGGCCAAAGTCAGCCGCTCCTCCCTGGCTAACACAGATCGGGGGTGGGGGGGCAAGTACGAAAAAACGGGGGGAGGGGGAGGGCGGGAGGCCGAGCGAGCAGGAGAATACCCAACTCCGGGAGACAGCTTCTCTGCGAGCCAATGGGGAGCCGCCTGGCCAGCCGTCACCTGACCCTCCGTCGGCCTGCCCATTGGACCAAAGCCCGGTGATTGACGGCGTTTAACATTGAATATGGCAGCTCCGTTTAAGCCTCGCGTTCTGATTGGCCGGGCTGGGTTTAGTGAAGCGCAGGTAAGGTGAAAGGATGCCCGCCGCCCCCAAACGTTTTGTTTACTGGAGATACAATTGGGGGGCTGGGGGGCAGAGATGAGTGGCTGAGGGGGGAGGGAGGGGGAGGAGGAGGAGGGGGAGAAGATGATGGTCTCGGGGCAAATGAGTTGTGCATCCCTCTTAGCCTAAAGGGAAGAGGAGAGAAAGCGACTCTCCCCAAGCATAGAGTATTTCCCAGCTCGCATCTTCCCGGGATGTTGGGGGGAAACTCTCGCTTTCTGCCTTCCCTGGCCCCTGCAGGGCTTTCTCCCTCTTCCCGTTTCCCTTTGCCCACTACATCCAAAAAGAAAGACACGGGAAAGAAGAGGTCCCTCTCAGACTCTCTCGAAACCCGGGCGGCGAGTGCGCCCGGGCGCGCGGAGGGGCGGGCTGCGCGGAAGCGCGATGCGCAACTTGGGCTCCCAGGGCACGCGAGACCCCCCCGACTTGTGCTGGGGTGCAGCTGGGCGCAGGGCAGCCGCCTCGGCGGCAGCAACGACCCCCCATCCCTTGACCCCGCGTCCCCCAAAGCTCGCCTGCTGCACGGCCGAGCGGATGCTCAAAATATGGCACCAAATAAGACACGCAGAAAACTCTGAAAAGAGCGCGGGGGCGGGGGTGGAGCGAGGGAGAGATTTTGTTCGTTTGCCCAGAAGGATCGTGCGCTTAGAAAGACGGATTATATTTTTATTTAATCTCCTTCGGGTTTTGTTTGCGTGTGTATTTGTTTTCCAATGTGCTGACAGTCTGGGATGCATGGCTGGGAGTTGGATAGGTGTGTCCTTCCCTCGACACGCATTACTTTTCTCTCCGAGCATCGCCCCCACGACGCGCGCGCGCCCGCACACGCACCCCGCTCCCCTTCACGGTTGAAGTGGAAGACGAAACTCCTCTTCATCTGATCGGGCGCTGGCGAGGCGAGACATAAATAATGCAGCCCTGCACGTACCTACTCTAAAGTAAGTCGCACTGGGTTTCATGCGGCTTGCTCCCAGGAAAGCGCGCGTGCAATTGCAGCCTAAAAGACACCCCTCCGCGGATCAGGCTGCGACGATCTTATGCCTGCTTGCTCGAGAGTAAGCGCTAGTAAAGCCGACGAAGTTTACCTTTTGAGTAGACGCGCGTGGGATCGAGCTAGTAAGCTACTTTGGTTCTTCGGATAACACATCGCGCAGAGAGGATATGTTATTCCGAAATCCGAAGCAGGAAGATCAAAGTCACCCGGTGTAAATATCTCTATATTGCATAAAATTATGCATTATGTTTTAAGCAAGTACGATGTTTTAATGTCGGGGTACACCGATGGTTTGCAACCATGCGTTCTTGTTCTCCCCCCACCGCCCCGCCAATACCTCCCTACCCCCAATAAATCCAGTCATTTTCTCTTTCTGGAAAGCATTTTCAAGGAGCGATGGGGGGGAGCAAGTGTTGGAAAGAGAAGGCGCCGGAAAAAAAGATGCCAGGGATTGTGATATGCGGAGGTTTTTCGAGCCCCGAAGACTTCCCATTGAAGGCGGTTCACAGCATTTGCCGCCGCCTCTCCGCAGGAAAGATACCATCTGATCAGGTTCAGAAACGCACTGAGAAAGTGCTTCAAACGGCCCTTTATGAAACGCAGCCCCCTTTCACAGCCTTCTCCCCCCACCGCACGCTCAGCCAGCCCCAGAAAAAGGCTTCGCGGGGCTTTATTTTAGCGTCTAACCAAAAGGGGACAGAAAAAAAGCAGGGAGGGGGGATTGCAAAGGGGGAAATAAAACCACCGATATGTGGATATAGATATATCCCTCAACACAGTTTTACGTCGCAGCAGGCGCAAATCCCCTCCCTCCCACCCTCCAGAGCCCCTCTCCCGTCCCCTAGAAGGTGAGTGCGAGCCGTCCCTTTTTCGCTGCCGCTTTTCTGCATTTCTTCAGAGACTAACTTCCTGACCCGATCCACTCCTTTCCCTAACCCTCTTGGTTGGCTCTTGCTTCGGGGGCGCTTTTCGTGGGGGCGACAGCAAGGTGAAATGGAAGACGGGGGTCGGGATGGGGCGGACGAGGGGGGCTTGTGTTGTGGGAACTGAGGTTGCGTTTCTAGGCGCGGGGGAGAGAGAAGCGTGGAATTTTGCCTCCTTCCGTGTTGATGGAGTCCAAGGGCTTCATGAGCGGGGGGAGATGAGCGGGGTGTGCATGGCCCCCGCACGATGGTGGTGGTAGCAGTGGAGCGACACGAGCCTTTTCCACTGGGCCTCTGGGTTACTCACTTTGGTGGGGGACGGAGGTGGGCTCGGGGGCAGACAGAGTCCAAAGCTGGGAAAGGGACCACGAGGAAGTCCTTGCGAAGAAACAAGTGGAGGAGTTTTGCCTCCGCAATGAACCCGGGATGAAGCTAGTGGGGATCCCCTTCGCCGCCGAAGGGCTTCGCTTTTGCCCCCAGATCGTGGGGCTACTCAAGGTCGGGGAGAGAGCGGGCTGGCCATGAAAATATGGGCGCCGCTCCTCCGTCCCCCTCACGCCTCTTCTTACTGTTTAGGAAGCATTTCTCCCCACGCACGTACATGCCTGTCTGTTGTTTTTATTTTTTTTGGGGGGGGGGCAGGGTTCCCATGTCAACACCAGCTTGATTTTGCCCCAAGTGGCCCTCTACCTGTTCCGTGGGTCTGCCTTTCAAGGCCCCCGTCAGATAATTAATTACCTCCAGCACGTGTTCCGTTGTCTCTGCAACAAGCTCCAAAAAAAGGCCTAATTCAATTAGATCATCAACGGGGCCTTGGGTTAGGGGGCGTCTGTGAAGCCGCGGCTTTGGGCGAGCTGGGGGGATGACCTTTGCTGGGGCAAAAGGCCTGTCCTCATTGTTTCCGGGCTCGGGGGTGATGTCGAACAACTCCGTCCAAGAGCAACGTTCGCGGGAAGGCAATGCGAAAAGCCGACCAGGAGGACGGACGGACGGGCTCGCTCGCTCGCTCGCTCGCTCGGGCGGTCTTTCCTTCTCAGAAAGTACACACTTAACTAGACCTGAATGCAGATTAATGTAAGTGTTTGGGAGGCGTGCGTATGTGCTCACACCAACTCTGGACCCGTGAAATTCAAGAGCCAAGATCTTTTTGGTCACGTCTACTTTCTATATTTCTATACCCAAGTTTTTATGGGAGGAATGAACAAAAGCATTTTAAAATGCACCCTTGTTTTACACACTGCGTGCTTACGACATACAAATCTTTCCCCCAATTTTGAGGCGAGGGAGGGGGAAAATCCAGATTTACTTTCAAGAAGAAGGAGGCCAAATTCACTTTGGTGCATGTTTTAAAAATGCGTTCACCCGATGTATTGATTAGGAAGTGGGAAATCAAAGGAAGCGTTATTTATTTTGGAAGGCGAGGTGTTTTCCCTGAGATGAATAGGGAGACCTTCTTTTGCTTTGTTTTTCAGGGAGGAGGAAAGGCAGATATAAATTGCAGCTTTAAACAAGGGATTGTGGTCCCTTATTATTTTATTGCTTAGGAAGAAAAGGGAGGAGTGTGGAAACAGGAGGGGAGGAAAAGGAGGCGGGGGAGGCAAACTCGACATCATGGAATCTACTTGCAGATTAGACAACATAAATTAACCTATAAATCTCTTTTATACATTTCCCCCGATCAACTCTGTCGAGGCCTCTATGACTGGGGAAATAATATATTGGGTACACAAGAATAGGTCAAAGTAGTTTACCTAGCCTTGGGAAGAGGGTGTGGGTGGGTGTCTCCTCTCCTCCCCAGCCCCCCTTTTTAAAAGACCTACTAAATTATGTAGCAAAGGGCTGCACAAAGGTGGTTTTTAAAAGCAGTGCTTTGGATGTTGACTGTAAAAAGGGAAATCTGTCCTCTCATCCTCATTAAAAGGCCGGGTTGATTTATTTTCTACAGATGCATGGTGCTTCTTCACTCACTGTTTCTCCAGCTATCTTTCTGTTGAGCTGTCCAATATCAATCCGTATTTTTCTCTTGATTTCAGTAGGAAATTTCCTGGCTTAATTTCCTCCCATCAAAATAAATGGAACATAAAGCTGCTTAATGTGGCTGGATCATGGCTCAGAATCACTTAAGTAGATTTAAAAAAAAAAGAAGAAGAAGTTAATTATTTGGATAGAAGTTTACAACGTAACATTGTGTGTGTGTGCTTAGAAAGGAGTCCCATTAAGTTCATTGGAACTTACTCCCAAGTAGGAA